AGAGGGTGGGAAGGGATAGACTGGGATTTCAAAATTGTAGAATAGATAAACAAGATTACACTGCATAGCACAGGGAAATATACACAAAATGTTATGATAACTCACAGAGAAAAAATTGTGACAGTGTGTATATGTCCATGAATGACTGAAAAATTGTGCTGAACACTGGAATTTGACACAACATTGTAAAATGATTATAAATCAATGAAAAATGTTAAAAAATAAAAAATAAAAAGCATCCCCCAAAAAAGTTAAATAAAGAAATTGAAATTGAAAAATAACATCTTCGTGCTAATAACAGTAAGTACAGTAACAAATATTAGTGTTTATCATTGCCATGCAGATAGTGTATCTTAAAAATACAAGGTACACTTATTATAGATTAATCTTAGATTTGAAAGGATGATAAAATTCGTGGAATCATTTCACAATAATTCTGCTTAGGATCTTTAATTTAGACAAGTTTTATCTATTAATGCTAAAATTGTTGGGTGGTTGAAAAATATGCTACTCACAAAGCCCTACAGTACCATGCAGTAGATTTTTATTAAGTGTAAAGAAAATGACTTCTGCCACAGAGAAATCTGGCACATCTTACTTTATCATGTGAACAACACTGCAAAACCAATAATAGCATAAGTGACATTATGTGCCCCCCACCTCCCCACTGAACTTCAGCGGGACATACAAAGCACCCATGAGGTTCTCTTACTAAATCGTAACTGGAATCTATCTCTAGAAAACAACTGCACAAAACCAGCCTGAGGAATAATTATGTATGACTACTAAACGCTTCACAAAGTTAAGAGTACTGAAAAAAAAATGGAGAACTGATAACAGGAGATTGAAGGGAAAAGGTAACCAAATTATATGCTTGTTCCTGGGCTGGCTATTGCTTTGCAAAGAAAAAGAAGCCATAAAGGTTACTGCAGGAAAATTGGGAAATTTTAAGTATAGGCTGTACATTAGATAATATTGTATCCATGGTAACACTTAAATATAAATGCTACTATTGTCCTCCATACAAAAATCATTGCTGAGATAAACATACTGAAGCAGTGAGGATTTGATGGATTTATAAATGGATGTTAATGGAAATAGTTTTCTCGTATTGAGTTATGGGGAAGTCATTCTGGCTTATACATGATTTAACTTGAATTTTATGTTAACTAACACAGCCTGTTTATCACCTATCAAACATACACTGTTTGTCTGCTTTAATCATTAAAGAAAAGAGTACATTGACCAGAAATAAATAATATCCATGTTAAAAATCGAGAGTAAATTCCTCCTTTCCTTGGACGCCAGTGCTTGAACTCCTTCAATGATCAGACTCCCTGTGCAGGTGTGCAGGTGCCACAGCCATATGCCTCACTGTGTATGTGCTGATCTGTTTTTTTTGTTTTGTTTTTAAATCTTGAAGGAATATATTCCTAGGTTGTTTGATGTTCTTTGTTCTGACAACATAAGAAACTGTGCTGAAAACCATGTTTCTCCAGAGCAGTTCCTCAGAGTTATCTGAGAGGCTGCTTTTGGGCTATAGTTCTCAGTTTGGCTCAAATAAAATTTTTGTCTATTCTTATAGATTGTTTTTTGATCGTTTCCATTGTCATTGCAAAACTAGATATATACACAAATTTTGTATGTTACATATATATGCATGTGTTTTAAACATTTTTAGGTTTTAGAAATATTTAATGCATACTTAGGAAAATGTCTATCCCCTAAGTTTGTCATATAAAAGTTTGTCTGATTCTGTTTTTGATATTATTCCCTTGTATATATTTATACAAGTAATATATGGAAATCTTTCAATAAGATACAAAAGTTAATAAATTTTCATCAGTGTTGCTTGAACAGCTGGATATTCATGAAAAAATAAAAGAAGCACAACTATTACTCCACAACATAAGTAAAAATTACCTGAATGGATAACAATCTACATGTAAGCACTTACAAAGTTTTAGAAATAGATAAGGGTAAATCTTTGGGACCCTGTGCTGGAAAATATTCTATAGATAACCACCCCCCAAAAAATCTACCCACAAATCAATCTCAAAGCATTGCATAGAGTTCTATTAGACAAACTGTCTTAGCTATAGATAACTAACAACCCGTATGCAAGTACACCCTAAAATGTGTTTTTGTACAGACCATGATCTAAGCACTTTTAATT